GTTCATCCCAGATAGTCCACCAGTCCTGGGAGCACATGAGGGGCGGGGTGTTTCTTCAGGCTTACTTCTCCAGCCATGTTCTCCAAGGCAGCCCTGCAAAAATCACGTTTCTCTGAGGGGCTTGCAAGCTGCCCAGGCTGTGCTGAAAAACAAAGGTTCAGCCTCTGCTTCAGCCTCTTTTTCACAGGTCTTGATGTTCCTCCATCTCCCTGTCTCCTGCGGCTGGGCTGGATGGAGCCGGAGTGGGGATGCCAGGTGAGGACCTCCTCCTCCCCTCTTTTTCAGCTTCTGCTGGGCTGGAAGGGACCAGCGATCTGCTTCTTCTTCCTTTTTTTTTTTAATGACTGAATCTGGCTCTGTCACCTAGGCTGGAGTGCAGTGGCACGATCTCGGCTCACTGCAACCTCTGCCTCCTGGGTTCAAGTGATTCTCCTGCCTCAGCCTCTTGAATAGCTGGGACTATAGGCGCATGACACCACACCCGGCTAATTTTTTTTAAAGACAGAGTTTCACCTTGTTAGCCAGGATGGTCTCGATCTCCTGACCTCGTGATCCGCCTGCTTCGGCCTCCCAAAGTGCTGGGATTACAGGCATGAGCCACCGTGCCCAACCTTCCTCTTCCTTTTTACCACAGACATCCCCATTGATATTTTCTTCTCAGTGTACAAGCCTCAGAACTCAGCCTCAATAGCAAAAGGGACATTAATTTTCTTCCTTTCTTTTTGTTTTTTGTTTTTTCTTGAGACAGAGTCTCTCTCTCTGTCGCCTAGGCTGGAGTGCAGTGGCTCGATCTTTGTTCACTGCAACCTCCGTCTCCCGGGTTCAAGCGATTCTCCTGCCTCAGCCTCCCAAGTAACTGGGCTTACAGGCTTGTGCCACCATGCTCAGCTAATTTTTGTATTTTTAGTAGAGACGGGGTTTCAAACTCCTGACCTCAGGTGATCCACCTGCCTCACGGCCTCCCAGAGTGCTGGGATTACAGGTGTGAGCCACCGCACCCAGTTGAGATATTTATCTTCTTAAAACTGGAGGAAACCTCAGATGTTGGCAGCGAGGCCTGGTTCTTCATATGTGACTGGAGCTAAAGGAATTTAGGAAGTTCTCTTGTATCTCCACAAAGCCTGACTTCCAGTAATCATGATGAGCATTTCTAAAGACTTCCTTTTTCTTTTATAAACCTGTGACTGTCCTAATCTGCACTGAGAAAATAGCAGGAAAGAAGGTCACACACAAAAGGGAGCACTGTTATGCAAATTCAAAGTGTCATCCTTGTCTGCTCCTGGGCTGGCTGCCAGACTTCTCGGGAGAGGACATGAGTGGCGTGGCGGCCCTGGGCTTTCTGAGAACTCATCCCTGCTTCTCCCTCCTGGCTCAGCTCTCCATCTATTGCTGGAGCTCATTCCTCGTGGTCCAGCCACACACCTGTCTCTGGTCCCTAGATCATGTCAGTCACGCCTGTGTTTGGATCTTTCTGGTCAACTCTCCCCTTTGCCCGGGCTACTCCTCCAGCTGCTTCTCAGCTGAGTTTCTTCTCAGCCATTCATTTATTCAACAGCTTTTAAATTGAGTCATTGCAATTATTAGGCACAATACTGAGCGCTGAGAATTTCGTGGTGAGCAAGAGGAGCTCATGGTTTAGAGAAGGGAGACCCAGGTGACCCCCTGGATGGGTGCCAACGTTCCCCAGTGCCAGGAAGGAGTGGGAGGGTGCAGTGGGAGCTCGTGAGAGGGATCTGATGGAGTCTAGGGGGTCGGGGATGCTTTCCTGAGGAAGCGAGGATGAAGCTGGGCTCTGAAGAGAAGAGGAGGGGAGTGATGTAATTTGAGGCCAGGCTCTGTCTCATCCATGGACAAGTCAAATTGATTTTGCCTTCTCAATATCTCCAATCTATCCACTGTCTCCCTCCAGCAAAACCCCACTGACCCCATTGACTGAGTCTGAGGGAGTCTTCAGGTTTCACCAGTCACTCAGAGTAGCGTTCGGCGGCCCTTTCCCTCGGCTTTCCTGATGCACACTCCCTGGTTTTCTTCCTGCTTCTCAGATCCGAACCTCCTGAGCCCCCTGTGATATAGCCCTCCTCTACCTAGAACCAGCTTTGAAGTCGCAGAGTTCCTCCAGGTCCAGCCCAGGCCGCTCATTTTCTCTCCAGGCGTGCCGGAAATTCTGTCCATGCTGTGGCTTCAGCTGTTGCTTACGCAGAGATGACCTACAGCTTTAATCACTCAGAACTGTCCTCTGAACCCTAGCTGTTAACATTGCCTCTAAGTGGAAATGTTAACCGCTCAATATGTGTCTAAAATAAAACTCATGATCTTTCCCTCTAGCCTGTTCCCTTCCAGAATTCCTGGTGTCAGAATAGCCCACCATCCTGTTACATAAGCCGGAGATCTTGAGTCATCTTTGATGCCTTCTTCTCTATCACTCCCACATACAATCAGTCATTGAGTTCTGGAGATCTGACCTTCTAAATATCTCTCAAGGTCACCTACTCTTCTCCTTCATCTACAACCACCAGCTTAGTCCAAGTTACCGTCAATTTTTGCTTTCTTTTTTGAGACCAAGTCTCACTTTGTTGCCCAAGCTGGAGTGCAATGACACAATCTTGGCTCACTGCAATCTCTGCCTCCTGGGTTCAAGTGATTCTCCTGCCTCAGTCTCCTGAGTAGCTGAGATTACAGGTACCTGCCACCATGCCTGGCTAATTTTTGTATTTTTAGTAGAGACGGGTTTCACTACGTTGGTCAGGCTTGTCTAACTCCTGACCTTGTGATCTGCTCACCGCCTCAGTCTCCCAAAGTGCTGGGATTACAGGTGTGAGTCACAGTGCCTGGCCATTTTTTGCTTCAATAACAACAGATTTTGAACTGGTACCTTACGTCTGCTTTTGCATTCTTCCAATTTACTGTCCTCTGTGCTGCCAGATTGGGCTTTTTGAATCATACATCAATCACATCACATCACATCACATCACATCACCACATCACATCACATCACATCACATCACCACATGACATCACATCACCACATCACATCACATCACATCACATCACATCACCATATCACATCATCACATCACATCACATCACAGCACATCACATCACATCACATCACATCATCATATTACATCACATCACCACATCATATCACATCACATCACATCACATCATCACATCATCACATCACATCACATCACCACATCACATCACATCACATCACATCACATCACCACATCACATCACATCACATCACATCACATCACCACATCACATCATCACATCACATCACATCACATCACTTCACATCACATCATCACATCACATCACATCACATCACTTCACATCACATCATCACATCACATCACATCACATCACCACATCACATCACATACATCACATCACCACATCACATCACATCACATCACATCACATCACATCATCACATCACATCACATCATCACATCATCACATCACATCACATCACATCATCACATCATCACATCACATCACATCACATCACATCACATCACATCATATTACATCACATCACATCACATCACATCACATCACATCACATCACATCACATCACATCACATCTACTTCCAATCTTAAAATCCTTCCATGGCTTTTAATTCCTCTTAAGAGGAAGAAAGGAATCTTCCATAATGTCTGCAAGGCCCTGCCTGATCTCACATCACTCTCTCCTTATTGCCTCCACTGATGTCTTCAGTGGAATCTGAGGGGCATTGGCCTTCTTCCTTGGGCTTGGGAAATGCAATAATACATTTACAAGCATCTCTCAGGATGAGAGTGATTCTGTAGATGGCCACTCCTAACGGTCTTATGTTGATCTTTCTTAGCTACAGTTAAAGAGAAGGCCTTGTCTGTTAGACCTCAGAAGGTGTTTTCCTTGGAGCCTGTATTAGGATTCTCTGGAGGGAAGAACTAATAGGATAGATGTATATATGAAGGGAGTTTATTAAGGAGTATTGACTCACACGATCACAAGGTCCCATAATAGGCCATCTGCAAGCTGAGGAGCAAGGAAGCCAGTCCAAGTCCCAAAACCCCAAAAGTAGGGAAGCTGACAGTGCAGCCTCAGTCTGTCGCCAAAGGCCCAAGAGTCCCTGGCAGACCACTGGTGTAAGTCCAAGAGTCCAAAAGCTGAAGAGCTTGGAGTCTGCTGTTCGAGGGCAGGAAGCATCCAGCATGGGAGAAAGATGGAGGCCAAGAGACTCAGCAAGTATGCTCATTCTACTTTTTCTGCCTGCTTTATTCTAGCCATGCTGGCAGCTGTTTAGATGGTGCCCACCCAGAATGAGGGTGTGTTGGCCTCTCCCAGTTCACTGATTCGGATGTTAATCTCCTTTGGCAACACCCTCACAGACCCAGGAATGATACTTTGCATCCTTCAATCCAAATCAAGTTGACACTCAATATTAGCCATCACAGAGCCCAAGACTCTACATACCTAACACAAGCTATGTGGTTCTTGTTGATGGATATTGTTTGTGAATGAAAGAATGAACTATCTTTAAAATGTAGATTTTCGTGTGTGTGTGTGTGTGTGTGTGTGTGTGTGTGTGTGTGTGTGTGTTTTGAGCCAGTCTCCCTCTGTTGCCCAGGCTGGAGTGCTGTGGTGGGATCTCGGCTCTCTGCATCTTCCACCTCCCACGTTCAAGTGATTTGCCTTCCCCAGACTCCAGAGTAGCTGGGATTACAGGTGCATACCACCACACTTGGCTAATTTTTGTATTTTTCATAGAGATGGAGTTTCACCATGTTGGCCAGGCTGGTCTCAAACTCCTGACCTCAAGTGATCCACCTGCCTCAGCCTCCCAAAATGATGGGATTACAGATGTGAGCCACCGTGCCTGGCCTAAAATGTAGATTTTCTTGGTCCCCTCTTGATTATGAGACTATGATCCAGGAAATTGACAGGGGAATCACTCTTAGGAACACTTGCAGTGTCTCTACAGATTTCTTTGTTTTCCCGTTGTAGCCATGGAAATAAAGAAACCTTCTCTTGCCGGGGAATCAAGCTGGCTGTGGACTGGTTCAGGGACAGAGGACACACCTACATCAAAGTTTTTGTTCCTTCCTGGAGGAAGGACCCACCAAGAGCTGACACCCCTATCAGAGGTATGCTGGGGCAGATGTGTGCTCGGGAGGCACGAGGCACACTTCCGTGGTGCGCTCCTAACATCCACAGTCAAATTCTACTTGACGTTTGTCCTCCTCACTGTACTATAAGCTCCATGAAGGCTCCGATTATGAATGTTCAATGCCATTGCCCTAGCACCCAGCACCTAGGGTAACACCTGGTATTCAAGAGGTAGTTCAAAGTTAGGTGTTCGAGAAGCAATTATTGAGTAGATGAATGAATAAATTACTCTTTTAGTGTGAATAATTAAGTTGTCAAAATAATTGTGCCTGACCACTTTTAACACCTGAAAAGAGACTGGATCTGTGTTCCACTCCTAATAGTTTATAGGATTTGAGAGAGGCATTTATTTGGTCAGGTAATATTTAGTTACTGAATACCTCATCTAATCTCTTTATTTAAAAAGAAGAAGACAACTGAGACCTAGGGAATTCTCTTTTTTTTTTTTTGATATGGAGTCTTGCTCTGTCGTCCAGGCTGAAGTGCAGTGATGGGATCTCGGCTCACTGCAACCTCCGCCTCCTGGGTTCAAGCGATTTTCCTGCCTCAGCCTCTCCAGTAGCTGGAACTACAGGCATGCACCACCACACCCGGATAATTTTTGTATTTTTTAGTAGAGATGGGATTTCACCATGTTGGCCAGGATTGTCTCAATCTCTTGACCTCGTGATCTGCCCACCTCAGCCTCCCAAAGTGATGGGATTACAGGCGTAAGCCACTGTGCCCAGCTTTTTCATTTTTAATTCTTAAATCAGGAATATTTTAAGCTACAAATATTGGAACACTGCAGTTTTATTTGTTTATTTATTTATTTTTGAGTCTCATGCAGTAGTCCAGGCTGGAGTGCAGTGGTGCTATTATGGCTCATTGCAGCCTTGCTTTCCCCTGGCTCAGGAGAACCTCTTACCTCAGCCTTCTCAGTAGCTGGGACTATAGGTGCACACCACCATACTTGGCTGGCTTTTTTTTTTTTTTTTTTTTTTGATTTTTGGGGGGTTTTTTTTTTTTTTTTTTTTTTGACACAGTGTCTCATTCTTGTTGCCCAGGCTGGAGTGCGATGGCGAAATCTTGGCTCACTGCAACCTCTGCCTCCCAGGTTCAAGCAATTTTCCTGCTTCAGCCTCCTGAGTAGCTGGGACTACAGGAGCGTGCCACCATGCCCAGATAATTTTTGTATTTTTAGTAGAGATGGAGTTTCACTATGTTGGACAGGCTGGTCGTGAACTCCTGACCTCAGGTGATCCACCCACTTCAGCCTCCCAAAGTGCTGGGATTACAGGCTCGAGCCACTGCAACCGGCCCTGGCTAGTTTTTGTATTACCTGTAGAAATGGGGTTTTGCCATGTTGCCCAGGCTGGTCTTTAACTTCTGGGCCTAAGCAATCCCTCTGCCTCGGCCTCCCAAAGTGCTAGGATTATAGGCATGAGCCACCACGCATAGTCAGAGCACTGTGGTTTAAACAAAAAAGGTCTTGTTTGTTGTTTGGCTTTGTATACAGGTTGAGCATCCCTTATCTGAAATACCTGGGACCAGAAGTGTTTTGAATTTCTAAATATTTTTATTATGCTTACTGCTGAGCATTCCTAAACCAAAAATCCCAAATCTGAAATGCTCCCATGAGCATCTCCTTTGAACATCATGTTGGTTGGATTTTCGGATTAGGGATGCTCACTGGTGAGAAGAGATCAGATGCAAAGCTCTTTATTATTAAGGTCAAGTGTTTTGTACTCGACATAATTGTATGTGCTAGACATTGACACAACTGGCAGCACAGTAGGGCGTTTCCACCAGCATTTTCTCGGACACGTGAGTCATGTGTCACACTACAAGGTCAGGATGGCTACGATGATAGGGATTTTCAACTCTGTTACAGTTTTCTGGGACCACTGTCACGTATGTGGTCTGAAACATAGTTATGCAGTGCATGACTGTGTATCTATGCAATTGCCATGGGTTTTCTCTCCTAGCATGAGAACTTCTCCCTGAATGGCACTGCAGGCCATTTGTGTTGACTGGCAGTTTTCACTTTAGCATACCCGGCATGGAGGAGGCAGGCAGCCTGGCGCCTCTGCCCACCACTTATTCCAATGGCAGAATGATGATGGTTTTATTCTAGCAGGACAACAGCCCCAGGGGAGGTTTCCTCCTTGCTGGTTGTGTCTTCACTTTCTTTATAGTGATAGGGATGGGAAAATGAGGGGCGGTTCATGCCACTCATTTCCCATCCCTATGGCTATAATCTGGAGCAGCTGCCCGGGAGTAGCTCACCTGTTGGTTAGTCATCCCGACTTTGCCTGGCGTCCACTCCATCTCCACCACCTGGAGTGCTCCAAGACTGCAGGGAAATGGTGCCCACCTCCGCTCCAGCCTTCTGTGCACATTCTGGGCCGTGCTTCCCTCCACTCTGCAGAATCAATATGATCCTCTCTGCTTTCTGTCTTCCTAAAATATGTCAAAATCCTGGGTTTGCTGATATCCCCAAACCTACTTTTAATGTGATTATAGATTCTGCCCCCCACCTCACCTTTCATTATATTGGGACTATGAGAAGGAGGGAGTATAAATACTTGTGTTCAGTTCCCATCATGAACTGGCTGCTCCAAATTATTCTTTCTGGTCTGAATATGAAGAATGGTGAATTTCTTTCTTTCTTTCTTTCTTTCTTCTTTTTTTTTTTGATGGAGTCTCACTCTGTCACCCAGGCTGGAGTGCAGTGGCGTGATCTTGGCTCACTGTAACCTCCACCTCCCAGATTCAAGTGATTTTCCTGCCTCAGCCTCCTGAATAGGTGGAATTACAGGCAAGTGCCACCACACTTGTCCAATTTTTGTATTTTTAATAGAGACAGGGTTTCACCATGTTGGTCAGGCTGGTTTCGAACCCCTGACCTAAGGTGATCCACCTGCCTCAGCCT